GTTCTTCATTTGCCAACAATAAATCCTGAGTTCAAGAGTTGAAATGTATTTAAAGCAGTGATTCCCCAATTACTGTGCTGTGGTACAATAGTCTGCACTGAGAGATAATCAGGTGTTGGAAACCAATTCCATGTTCTTGATCTGAAAACTGTTACAACAATTAAATACTCATCCACTAGATGGCAGCAGATGCTTATAAAAAAAACCTAAAATACAAAGACTCAGTTGAAAGGAGAGAGGTGTTGAAGATCTGTCTTTCTTCCATTCCCGCAAGTATGTCAGTGTTCAACTAAACACAACTCAAAAAGTTTGAAAACACTGGTTTGAAGACTTCAAGTCAAATGTTTGTCTGTCAGTAACTATCAGATAATGTAGGGATAGAATATAGGTCTCCGTAAGACGGGGGGTTTAGGTTCTGGTGGCGTTTGATGGGTTTTTTCCTTAGATGATTTATTGTGAAATCTACATTGGAGAGAAAATGGTAAAGCCTTCATTTTTAATATTAAAGAATTTCAATTTTTTTTGTATCAAATCTGCTTCAAAGGCCTTGCCATTCTGCCCTGGAAACGTACCTACATGTGGCAAAAATCTCAAGCGCCCCACTGGCAGACTGGTACTGCAACCAGATTTTACCCCCTTAACCGATGTCACCAGAAAACACGTGTTATTCTGGTACTGTTAGAGAAGTGGAGACGTTATTTCCATCCTATTTCCAGTCACTGATTGTGATTCTATTCATTTCAAGTCAAATACATAAAGATTCTCAAATGATTGTTTGTTAATAATCCCCATCACTTCATTCTGACTGCTCCGAACTGAAACACCGATGTTTCACGGGGTTAAGCTGTCAACGATAAGGCAAACAAGTTGTTCTTCATTTGCCAACAATAAATCCTACTTGAGAAGATTAAAAACAGACATGCTCTGTTGCTCCTTACACTCCTCCTGATAACATGCATGAATGTGGCAAGTTTCTGTTCCATTCTTGGCTTCATTTCCAGTCTGTCGTCAGACCAGGACAGGCTTCTGGGGTTAGTGTTGGAACGACCACTGCTAAACTGACGTCAAGACTTTCCCCCACAACCCACCAAGAAACAAGTTGTCTCTCCTCCCCTCCATTCATCTTCCAAGTAAGCAACAGTTAAAGCATGTAGTATATTCTGGGTTTTTCGCTGCACCCCCTGCTGGCCCCATGTCTCTTACTGTTTTTAAAAAGGAGCAAGGAGCCGTTTTTACAAATATAGGTGTCCAGTCTCCTCCCAGGAATCATCAAGTCTGACATGATTGACCTTCTCGCTCCAGCCTACCACTCCACAGACAAAGGGGACAGGTTAGGAGTTGTCCTGCAGTTCTTTGGCCTTGGTCAGGATCGTGTGGACATCGGTGATGGGATAGTCCTGAAAGAAAGACACGACGATAATGGTGAGTCTGTAGCTGTTGTTGGACTCGTCTTCAACAAGGACAAGTTGTTTTACATGCTAGATATGACATTTGCTGGCTTAAATTTTGGGGGGACAATAATTGAAATTTTAAATTTTTTAAAATATTATCGTATTGCATTTTTTCACAAACTTACCTGTAAATGATGTCAATTTTCAGTCTATGTTTGACATGACAAGGTTTGATTTTTTTTTTTTTTTAATGATTATGTTGGTGGTCATTTGGGGGTAAAGGATGCATTTTGTGACTAAAAAAAGGGGATCTTAACATATTTTTCCTTAAATGTCAGTATAGCACAACATTTATTGGTCAGAATCTTTCATGTCAGTGCACATTTTGGTGCAAAAACTTCTCTAAAAAGGCATTTCTGTGTGTTCTTAGAAAACAGTTTGCATCATTTTTTGTCTTTTTAGTCCATTTTTGACCTGCCACGACCTGATGTTTTTATGCATATTTATCACAAACAGCAGTTGTTCTTTGCACCTTGGGTCCGCTGCTTAACGGCACTTTTAAAACAAGACATAATGTTGTACGTAGTTGAAAACCTTTACCTGCAGTAACCTCATGTTGACTGTAAAATCTCCAGCCAGTAAATTTTCTTTGATGAGTCTGCAAACAGATGCAAAACAAACAGTGACTCAAAACACACACAGAGTAAAAAGCCTGGGCACAGTGTGACAACAGTGCGAGTCGCTCACATGAGCATGGCGCAGCAGACCACGATGAGGAAGTGAAATCGGTCCACATCGGAAAACAGCGTGTCCCAGATACGGATAACGTCCGGCAGGAGGAACTCCTGAGACAACAACAGGGTCAACCAGCGGAATGTGAAGTACTGAGGTTTGATATTCTGCTCTTCCTGTGTGAAGAAAAATCAAAGTCAGTATTTTATTTTTTTTCAAAACGTCGGTGCAGCCGTTACCCTCAACAATATATTACATTACATGACAATACATTTAGCAGACGCTTCAATCCAAAGTGACTTACAATTTGAGTCAGTCAATCAACAATCAAGCTACATTTGCTTCGAGCAAATATTTGCTTCGAGATACGACTAAAGATTTGAGATACAAGCGCGTTTGTACACAGGAATCCTTATATACTATCATTTTTGTGTGTGTGTGTATGTCTCTATATCAATTAAAAACGTGTTTTTTTCATTGTTATTAGCACTAATAAGGGTTTTTTAAAGGGCAGGAACGGATCAATTTTTTTCTGTTATTTCTTATGGGGAAAAATTGATTCAAGATATGAGCACAGTCCTGAAATGGATTATGCACGTATCTCAGGGTATTACTGTATGTCATAAGGATAGTAGGTCATAGAGTAAGAAGAGGTTCATGTTCATGATATTAACAATACGACTAACATGTTCAACAGCCCTAATATACACACACACACATTCACATATGTGTACATGCCCATCTATCTATTCTCACCAGTTTCAGGTAAAGCTCCATGTCTTTGCCTTTGAGCATGGAGTACACACTTTCCATTTTGTAGGTGATGCCGCACTGGGAGTCATCCAAGCTCTTGATGAAATTGTCTCTGTTCTCTGACATCAGGTTGGTGAAGCAAAAGAACGTGTCTGCCTCAGCGTGCTCTGGACAAAGGAGCAGAGGAGGTTGGTTTTTATTTTACTTCAGGTCAAAACTTCTTCCGTGTTCAGCATGTTTTTTCTTTTAGCATCACCCACCGTTCCACTGATTGTTGGGATCCGTGGCAAAGGTGTAGTAAATTGGCCCCACTATCTCGTTCATGCCTTGCACATAGGCGATGCCTGGGTTGAGTTTGGCGTAGATGAAGAGGATGCGCTCCACCACCTCCCAGTGAGCTTCACTTCCACTGGGCAGTACTGCGTACTCATTAGATGGATACAGGTTCAGGGATTTTCCCGGTGAGCTGACCTGAGAACCGGTTGGTTTGATAAGAAAAAAATGTTCTGAAACACTTCACAACTCTAACAGACTTGTGGAGTACACACTCACAGACTGGTTTCGAGCAGGTTTTTTGACAACTAAAGCCACGGGCATCACATACTTAACAACTTTGTCTGATGAGAAATCGCAGCCTACAGATTTGTACTCTCACTGCCACAGCTCCATCAATGCTTTTTGTATTCTTCTTGCTGTCCGAATCGCTGCTTCGATATTTTCGCTACTCCTGTCTCATCTTAGCTTGTTGTTGGCAACATATTTTTTGCAATTGAATCAATTATCAGTTCACTCTGAGAACCTTAGATTCACCTTAGATGATACAAATAATACAAATGATTACTACTAAGGTCGGGTCATGCAGCAACAGATTTTAATGCCAACCATCCCCGCTGATTGATTTCCCCATAGTTAAACAACTAACGTGATTATTTCATATTTATTTGGGAACCCAGTTGCGGGTTCAGATTGGACGTTTCAGTGGTCCGTGTAAAGCTTCACTCACGTTGGTGACTCCACTGCGGTTGCGGTTTACAGTCTGAGATTTCAGAGTGGTTTGTTCGACTCGCCGACGGAGAGTCTCGTAGTCGTTCTGAGGATCCAGGATGAGCTGGCAGGGGTAGTCAGTGGGACGCTGGAAGAAAGCCATGTCTGGGTAGAGCCGCCTGCAAAACAGTTTTTTATCTTTTGAATATAGACTAAAGGATAACAGATTAATCAGTTAGTAACTGATGCAATAGGAATGACTACAGTAGTTGTTTCGTGGTACATCATCTATGACTCACTAGGTCATACGTATAGTTATAAATAAGATTAATACAAATACCTGACATCCTTGTCAATTTGGAGAAGAATCTCATTATCTTTAAAGTAGGTGTTCCATCTGCTTTCAGGGTTTGGATTCAGAGGCTAGGAAAACAAATCTGGATCAGACAAAAGTTGCACTTAATAAAGAATTAATTGAAACAAAAGACATTTTCTCTCACATGGTCCTCCATGGTGACATCTTCTCTGGAAAATCCCAGGTTGGCTTTGGCAATACCCGGCTGTATGATCATCTCCTTCAAGAACTGAGAGTACACATCCCTGGAGAGACATCAGTCACAAAAATAAGTTCTTGGATCATAGGTTATGCCTGGACGCTAACGACTGACAGAAGAGTTGCCTGGTGACCCCCAAATTAAAAACACAAAATGTGTATGACGACTGACAGAAGAGTTGCCTGGTGACAAATTAAAAACGCAAAATGTGTATAAACGTAGCTGTACTGACCTCTGCTTTTTGAGGAATGACTCCCATAGTGTCTGGTCTAGAGGTAGGTAATTAAGAAGGATCTGGAAAAAAGGTGAATATAATTTCAAAGTCAACATACTTATGAATCACATTCAGAGCAGTTGCATCTCATTTCACCCTATGCTCTAATGGTTTTTGTTTCAGAATTACTGGAAATCAATTGTGATATTCATTGAGAGATATTTCAATAATGAAAAAAAGAAAGATATTGAAGATATTCCTTAATTTCCCAAAGGAAACTCCCGAGGGATTAATTAAGTTCTTCTTCTTATCTAACAGTTAACCATCCTATTATGTTGCGGGTCAATTTGACCCATTTCAGTTTTTGTGTTGACCGAATTACTGGTTATCCTTTCTTTTTTTAATGAAAGTTTGTGACTTTTCCTCATCTAGTGTCATGAACTAGTTTGTAAAATCTGGACACTTTGATTGCAGATTTTACAAAGTTGAAGTCGTGGGTTGTTTTGACCAGTACTTTGTAAATCCACTCAAAATAGATCAAAAGAAACCAGGTTAAACCAATAATAATTTTATTTTAGATAATGTAAAAATTTAGAAAAAGAAAAAATTAGACAAAAATCACAACTGCTACAGTATGTCTATGACTGCAATTATCCAAAAGATTTTGCTTCTGTACAATTAGTCAAAAATGCAACTCAAGTAACCGAGTCCTGGGCACAAATAACTTAAAGGGAGTCAAGAAATATCTAAAGATAACATAGAAAAAAGAACAGTTAACAAAGAATTACATTAAAACCTTGGAGATTGTAGAAATAAAATCAAAATAAAACAGAAGCAGTGAATGATGTGTTTGAGGAATAAAATTGGACTTCTGGTAAAAGTTATTTTTCCTTGTTTTAATGTTTACACTAAAAACATTGGATAATATTACCTTCCAACAAAGTGCTCTTATGCCACCCTCAAATGGAATTCCTGCATTAAAAATCATCACAATAATAAAAACAAATGGGTTCTGACAGATATATTGAATAAATATATCTCGAGTATATACAAATAATAAAATATATCCTACCATTGAAACACAGCTCCCTTAGTGTTTTCAAGTTTATGTTGTCTTCACTCAAGGCCACTTTGAACTCCTGTATTCTACAACAATAACACAGAAAGATTATTAATCAGAAAACCCGATGGTAGGGACAACACTGCAGCTTCTGATGTGGCAACAGTTGAATCAACGTCCCTTGGAATTGCCGCAGTTCCATGAGTTCAACTGGCATTTCAGGATTATCTACTTTTTTTTAACAAACAGGCTTTAATTGTTTTTACAACAGAAAACGACACCAGTTTTTCTTCTCTTTACAACTGTTCACTTAGGAAAATTAAAATTGTCTCCCACTTCTATATAGCCAGGACAAAGTACCATGGTTTGGCAAAAGGCATTGGCTCTTGGAAATGGTACCGTTCCTACTAATAGTTCTAGTTCCATAGGATGTTAAAGCTCACAGCGGTTAAATTCATTTAATCTAATTAAAACTAAAATATGCTTACAACTGTCATCTGCATTCACCCGCCCACCCCCGGGTGAAAAACAAAACAAAGAAAAACACATTTAAAAGAAAAACACATTCTAAATTTCTTCTTTAAAATAATGCCATACCAGTTAAAGACTAACGCGTCGGTTTCCGAATTAACGTCAGCATGACAGTTAAAATGTAAATGATTGACAGCTATTGGAGTTCATACTGTGGCTCTGTCAGCAGATGCTGTTAGCTCGATGCTAACTAATTGTTAGCCACAGCTGCCAGAGAGTGTGATGTGTCAGCTGACAGACTAACAAACGGTGGTCTGTGTCCACATTGAATAAACAAAAACGGACACTTAAATCAATGTTGTGAACTTTAATAAAATACCACCTTTATTTGAAAATGTAATAGCGCCATGGTTTACCTTGTGGGCTGTGTTTGTTAAGCCTAAGCTGAGCTAATGTTTGGTTAGCAACCGCAAGGCTAACACTGATGGTAATGTACTGTATATGAAATGCTAGAGAAGGGTCCAGCTGAATGTGTCTGCACACTAAGGTCGGTTTAACTATCATAGCATCTACTTAATGATGATGATGATGATGATGATGATGGTGATGATGCCTCACCTGTTTTTGTATGCCGTCGACATGTCTCCAACACACACTGTCTCCTGCTAGAATGAATTATATTATTGGTAACCAGAGGGAAGTCCTGCTGCTCTGACTTCCGTCCTCAACACTGTACCGTGGACACTGGGTGTGCACACATAAAAATACACGCACTCTCACTCTCGCTCTCTTTTCTCACCCTCTCTCTCCTTCTGACAAACACCGTTTTTGGGTCCTGTGAGGACTTGTAATACAGATATATGACCAAACCGTAACCTTACCCAAACTCTTATCTGCATCCAGTTCTAGTCAAAACTATAAAAACCTAACCTTATAAATACCCTCTCACTCAGTTGGGACAAGCACATTGTCCCCACAAGAAGTGCGGACAATAAGGGTTTACCAACAATAATAATTTCACATTGTAACAGGCATCTGAAAGGGCATCAAAGTTGTATTGTACCAAGTCAATGTGCAGGATACCTGAGTGATGTTCCTGATAAAGTGACAAACAGAAAGTGAAGGTTTATATAAAATGACTGCATTTAGGCTTCCCCTAGCTGCTGTGGCTGAATTGTGGGTCACATTTGCTTTGCAGCAACGTATTAACCCTTAACATTTATCCAAGCTCTGTTTTTCTAACAATGGTTCGGTCTTAGTCTCCCAGACAATCTCCAGTTGATCATGTGAAGAACAGTTGGACTGATAAGGTGTATAAATGCCTGTTATTTGGCATGCTGCTGTTAAAGCCAGAGGAAGTATAAACAAGAAAAGGTTAACTATAACAAAAAAATATTCTGATATGTGATTTTCTCAAACTTTTGGTTTGGCATGTAGTCTATACATGCATATATAAATTACACTGGTAGTGGGAGGAGCTAGGAGTACAAGTAGGAAGAAGAGCAGGGGAAAAGGGGAGGAGCTTGTTTGTTGACATCGGAGGAAAACGGTGACCAGATGACTGTAGACCGCTGATTAAAGTACTCGTTTATCGCCGTCACCAGGACACGCAGCCTCGGCCAGAGCTTAGGTAGATCACCGGCTTCTTAACCGATCACCCATACTCAGCTGACCTCTAAACTCTGACCGCGGCTCTGTCTCTGCACACACCGCTGTGAGCTAACGTTAGCATCATTGAGCTAAGGCAGGGAAAGTCATCGTTAGCACATGCTAAGACGCTAATTTACTGCTGAAACCCGAGAGTAAAAACTTAAAACATAATAACAAGTGTTACTGTCTGGGATTTTGAGTTAATGTAAGTGAGTTGTTTAACTCTTTCGGTCTACTTGGTGGCACCTGTGAACTATTAATGTTAAAATCAAGTAGTTCTTCTGTGTTGTTATCCCGCTGATTAGCATGGAAGCTATCTTGGAAACAGTGCTGTTTCTCCCCCAGGATGCTTTGCTAAATATATAGATATGTGTATCCTTGTGGGGGCGGAATACTTGAGAAGAAAACCGCTTAGCAACCAAAACACACATCACAGTGAGTTGTAGATGTGGGGATGTTACTAAGTTTTAAACATTGTTACTGTCTAATGATTGTGTTATAAACGTTGAAAGAAATTGCAATGTGAATAATAGAGGTCGCTAACAGTTGGCATGACAGCTAACGAGGCTATATATTACTATTTTGCATGTTTGCTTTCGGTGAAAGTGGCAGTAAATGCTCCAAGTACAATAAAACAACCTGGGTAAATGTGAAAGTTTTTTAAAACTGCAATTAAAAAGACACAACAATTGTCCTGGTGATGGAGTGGTTAGAAATGTCTTGAGAAATAGTAACTTTTTATAAATGTAATGTCATTCTTCAAATATCAGGTATAGTGTGTGAGACAGCCTTTAATGGCTGATGAAACATATTCAAATATTTTTACTGAACCATTCAAAGTCTGTCTATTTTGAACCAGTACACATTTTAATTGAGAAATGTCTTACCAAAGAAGTAAAAAAGGAAAAACAAAGGCACAGGGTAGCCTCCCAGCAGATGAACACACATCACATTTATTTTCCTCTTAAGAAATGAGTGACATAAGAGGATATTTCTTTGGTTGATATTATTAAGGAAGGCAAGGAATTAGGTAGTAACAAGTAAAATTTTTTTTTTTTTTACAGTTATAACAAGAGGGAAATTTTCTTTGTTACGCTTACTTTATGATCGTAAAATGTGTACAGTCAGTTTTAATCTATATAAAATTGATGCATTTCATATTTATCTAATCTAGAAGTTAGTAATAAAATATTTCTTGGTGATTCTCAATAGCAGCCTGCCACATTCTCATGTCACACCTTTGCTGGTTGTGCTAGTTTCGTTGTTGGTAGCGGTCGATAATGTGTCAGTAAACATACGGACACACACATACCACACATAAATATACAAACAATCCCTCAAACAATAGGTACTAACCCTTCATTTTCTGTGGCTCTTGCCTCTTAAGGTAACCTGCACCACCTTGCCTTTGCCCTGAGCCACATAAGAGGCTAACATGGCAGCCAAAGCAGGAGACAACCCTGACAGTCTCATGACTCTGGCTACAGTCTACTGTTTGAGGAACCTCAGGAGGACCATGTGCTATCAAGGCTTCAGGAACAAGCTGTGCCTGCGCTCGGACATTTTTCTTCCAAGTGAAATATGTGACAAATTGGTCAACACGTACGTAACAGGACAAGTTAGTTTGATCTTTCTTTGGGAAAAAAATTGGTTTACGTTTGTAATGCCCTTTGCTTTGCCCAAACAGATATATGGAGTTGGTGCACACAGACAGCAACTTCGAACCGGAAGAAAGCTTCTTCCAGCTTTTCTCAGACCCTCGGAGCACCAGACTGACTAGGGTTCAGCTGAGAGAAGACTTTGTACGTGACAGAGATCTAGAGTCTATTAGGAAACAGGTGGGTTACTGCAGATTGTACTCATTTTGAGCAGATTCTATCTATTTATTTGTTCAAAAGAATGATTTGATATTAATGTTGAAAGTATGGGTCACATGGTGGAAGAGAGGTTAGTGCCCTTTATTTTGAGTTCAGTTCTGGATGTTACAATTGTATATGTATTTTGAGTTCAGTTCTGGATGTTACATTTGTCTATGTGTGTGTGCAGATGTTTTCCAGGTAGTCCAGCCTCTGTTATGGCCTAGAAATGTGCAGGTCTATTAACCCACCTTCACCTGATGATTGCTGGGGTTGGCTCCCTGTTACCTTTGACCACAAAAACGAAGAAATGAATGTTAAAAGTACATGTTGTTAGTCATAATCTGTCAATTATTGTTGACAGTCTTACTAATTGACTAATTCCTTGTCTCTGTTATCTAACTTGTTGAGGTGCGAACAACCTGCAAGGACTGATTAACCAAAACCTAATCATTGTAATTGAATCTTGTGTTGACCAGGACCTGATTGAGCTCCACCTCACCTACTGCAACAGCCTGTCATCCCGCAGTTTGAAAGCTCTGACGAGCTTCCGTGACACCTTAGTGTCTCTTTGTCTTTACGGCTGCAACCACATCTTCTACAGGAAGGGCGGCGCCCCGCTCGCCTGCAAAGAAGACTCAGAGGAGGAGGAGGAGGAGGAGAGTCCAGTTTCTCGGCACATGTTGGAAACGCACTTTAACTTCCAGGGTTTCAACCGCCTCAGATTGCTCAACCTGGGCGGCCTACCTGATGAAATGGACCCAGAGAAGCTGCTCAAACCCCTGAAGTCACTTGTTTCACTAGACCTGTCTAATGTCCAGTTGTTGGGGACAACGTTTCTCACGCAGTGGAAAGATAGACTGGCCTCTCTAGTTCTCTACAATGTAGATCTTTCCGACGAGTTGATCACTACAGTACTGGATCTTAGCAATCTCAGGTGAGCTATGGCAAATACATGGTGATATTAACTTCTTTGCAGAAATAAAGAGTTTTTTTTGTCCTTGACACTGCACACATTCTCCAGGCATCTTGACATCTCCCGTGAGAGCAGACGGACCTCCAAGTTCAAAATGACCAGGAAAATCCTGACGGCAGTTGTCCAGCGCCTAGTCCACCTTGTGTCTCTGGACATCTCAGGTCACGTAATGCTGGACAACTGCACAGTGCCACACTTTGAAGAAGCCATGGGACGACCAAGGTGGGTCTCCCACTGAAGAGCAGACCTACAGCAGATGAGACCAATCCTGATAATAAGTCAACTTGTTCTTTCTTACAGCGTCGAGCCGTGCAAGAGCAGCATTTATCCTCTGCAGGAGCTGAAGAGGCCTCTGCAGTTCCTGGGCTTGTATGACACCACCCTGTGCAATGTGACACACATCCCCGCTTACAAGGTCAGTGCACGTCACTTATGTTCCTTTTCTTTACATGTTAACGCAGTGAGAGGCCAAGGCAAAAAGTTCTCAGAATGAGTCATTTCTGCGTGTGTCTGATGTTAATCACTAAAACAATTTTGATAAGCTTCATCAATAAATCTTTGTCAAGTTTTGTGCTGTGTTGACCTTTTATTTGATAAGCAATCAGAGCATCACATCATTTTGACCAAACCTGAATGGAACCCTGTCACAATTACCAAAGCTGCACAACAGGTTTATGGAGGCGCTTCAGCATCAAGTGTTGTTCCATCCATCCGTCCATTTTCATCCACTTATCCATTTACCGGGTCGCGGGGGCAGCAGTCTCCATGACCACCACCCAAATCACATTGCACCGTACCAACCTCCCAAACCTTCCTGCAGGTGGTGAGTCCACTGGAAGGTACCAACCGTCCTGACCGGGAATCAAACTTGCCCAGGAAGTGAATCCTGGGGTTCCACACCGATGACAGAGACATTGCCTCTGAGCCAAAGGGCCACTCAAGTGCTTAAATTTAGCCATTTAAGGACATAAGGGATGACACTCTTCAATCTTGCACAAAACACTGGTCTGAATAAATTTGTTGCGTGATAGATCCCAAAAGCATCATCTGGCTTAAGGCTTGTTTCCATTTGTCTTAAAACTTCTTGGCTTGCCTTTGTATGTTGTCAACATGCAGCCGGTGTGTATCACAAGGTTCCACATTGCCATGAGGGTAGCACAACGACAGGATGCTAATTGTATCCATATGCGTCATATTTGTATGAATATCTGCACAATGCATTTGAAGGTGTCATTCACATTAGGCCTTTCTGGTCTTTTTCAGGTGACTGGCTCAAAGAACGAAGACCAGATCCTCAATGCTATCGAGGCGTACACCGAGCTGCGCCCTGAACTCACTCACAGGGCCATCAACCAGCTGTTTGACATTGCAAGGATACAACACTGCAGCCAGCTGCTCCGAGCTTTGCAGGTTCCTTCTTTAATAACGATCATCCGACTGTTTACCAAAAGGGGGACTATGTATAAATATCTGCTTTGGTATGATGAGCTGGAGACATTTAGAATTCTGAAGAAGCCTCTCTGTCTCTCTCTCTCTCTCTCTCTCTGTCACAGCTGGTCATCGCAGCGTTAAAGTGCCATAAATACGATAAGAGCATCCAGGTGACAGGCAGTGCCGCTCTCTTCTACCTGACCAACACAGAGTACCGCAGTGACCAGAGTGTGCGGCTGCGTCGCGAGGTCATTCAGGTGGTGCTGAATGGAATGGAACAGTATCAGGAGGTCACGGTAAATACTCTATATCATATGCCTCAAACCCAAGGCCCGGGGGCCAAATGCGGCCCGCCAAGTCGTTCTGTGTTCTGCCCAGTACCAAATGATCTATGGACTGGTACTTGTCCGCAGACCGGGGTTTGGGGACCCCTGATCTATACAGTCTAACATTTACAACCGGCCCTTCAAGGGGAACTGTATTGATGATGTGGCCCCCTGGTGGAAATGAGTATCATATGATTACCACCACTGTGTTTGAAGAGCAACCATATGTTTGTATTGTCGATGGCATCGATATTTGCATGACAAATAGTGTTTTATTTTCCTCGTGTGAATGGGTGTTTAAGGAATTAAAATATGAAATATAACCTTGTATATTTGTTGAGAACTCGTCTGAGCTCTTTAAGGCTTACTAATTATTATTCTGTTTTAAAATGTTTGTAATTATGTTAAAAGGCCATTGCTCAGGCTTTGAATAGACATGCAGACAAACCATGAGTCACAGGAGGGGGCGGGGGGTGTTGATCAGTACTGGTTTGGACCTTGTTTAATAACACAGCTCAACCAATGGGAACATATGGAGTGTGGCTAAGACTGCTGCAGCACTTATATAACCTAGGGCTGTGCGGTATGGACTGGTGATACTCGATATATATGTTAGTATTTTGGGTTTCCCTGAAGCATTATAGCATATTAGATTCATTTTTCCCAGAGACAAACCCTTTGAAAAACAAACAAACAAACTCTTAAGTTATACATTTAAGCCACATATCAACTGTCACACAGGCACCTTCATTGACAGAGGTCACTCTGCACAATATCAAAATGTATAAAATAAAACAAATGTATTTCCTGAATGACAAAAATACACAGACACTCCAAATGCTTCATTGTCAGATTCTCAATTCTCCCATGGTACCTAAACCCTCCTGGTTGGGAACGCGTTATTCCAACAGTGTTTCTATTTGTTTTCGCTATGGCACGTCAGCATGTAATTGAACAAACAGATGCAGAGAAATGATCGTTTTTAGGTGATATGCAAAATGTTGCTTGAAAACTTTTCTTTCAACTTTTCCTCTATTATTCTGTTATTGTAAAATACTGCCACACTGTTGATGTCTTCAACGTGGTAGAGAAGACTGTGGGTCGGGCTGATCCACATTAGAGAAAATAAAGGGGGGGTGTCTGTGGGTCGGGCTGATCCACATTAGAGCAAATAAAGGGGGGGTGTTCTGAAGACAGGCTGTTACCTGTGAAACAGGGGTGCTCTGACAACACCACCATAACATTAGTACAAAATCGACCAATCAGAATTTAAGTCAAGCCAGAACGCGCCGACCGATACTTCGACCAGGCGACTGGGAGATTACAGCCCTACAGTAAAAAGAACCAATGTTATTTGTAGTGACTGCAATGTCGGCTTTTCTTATAACCAATGCGCATTGACTGTTGAACGCAAGTTTCATTTATCTCTATTACTTTTGGAAATATTGAAATGTTTGCTGATTTCATGTCCTGACTGACTCAGTCACAGTTACACAATGGAAAAGCTGTGAATACTTTCACTTTCACTTTTCCCACGTCTTATAACTTCCCTAACCTTTCAGCTCAACTGTGCGCCTGCTGCTGTGCTCTCCGCTCGAAACCAAACGTCTTCTTCTTGTCTATATCCACACGTGTGCCTCGGGACGTTTGTGGACACAGATTTTAAAGGCTGAAAGCTCACAATGGTTTATAACAACAGTAAAGTCATATGCAAACTAGGCTTGTGTTCTCACCACTTTGCAATTACGCATGAGGTGACGACGAGTGCCGTGTGATTAGGGTTGCCAAACGTCCCTTTAAAAAAAAAAAAAAAGTAATTTAGAAACAGAAATACGTGTCCAGTTGAGCTAGAAAAGGAACGCACTTCAGTAAAAAGTAGCCTGTAATTTTTTATGGAATTAATGAATGAACAGGGGCCCTATATATGAAAACTTGTTGATCCTGTATTGAGTTGATTAGGGAGTTGGCAAAACAGTGCATGATGATGACACACACACACACACACTCTAACTATCACCTGCAAACACATGTGAGCACACGTTTAATAACTTGAAACAGCCGTAAAGTGGCAGTGATTTCAAACATCTCCAGACTGGGACATGTACACAGAGAGCGTGAGTTCTTCGCCCCAAAACCCCGTCTTCGTCTAAACGCAAGACCGAATCTGCACTATAGCTAGTATAGTCATATCATTGCCATGTAAATGCCACCTCAGTCAATCTGTGTCTTACTAGCAGCAAAGTAAGCGTAATGTGGCGGCATATTGCATTGCCAAAGACGTGCTACCACTCCACCTTGTAGAAAAGGTATCGTTGTCAGCAAAATGCCATAAATAACTGGGATTTCATTTTTTTGCCAGTAGCACCCGACCCTAATGCAAACTAATTAGCCTGAGTTACTTCCTGTCTTGGTCCAGGTCCAGAGGAACTGCTGCTTGACTCTGTGCAACTTCAGTATCCCTGAGGAGCTGGAGTTCCAGTACACCCGGGTCAACCAGCTGCTGCTGAAGATCCTGGAGCCAGCAAGGCAGGACGAGTCCATCCAGAGGATCGCGGTCCACCTGTGCAACGCTCTGGTCTGTCAGGTGGACAACCATCACAAGGAAGCTGTGGGAAAGATGGGCTTTGTTAAGGTACGGGCCTGATGGACCTTGAAGCCCCACTCCCTCAAACATGCTGGACGTCAGTTTCTGCTCTTTGTTTTGAAGAAGTACAACCATTACAACACATTTACAGCTATTGCTTCAAAACTCAATTTAACACACTGTTATTCCTAGAGATATTACAAACTAGTGCTGCCCCCCTCCCCACTGTGGCACAAATAATAAAGATTAAAAAAATAAATCTGCCTTGATGCAACCCTTGCAGTAGCTCTGTCACTCCACTCCACAATGGGTGGTTGTTTTATGGGTGTTTTATGATTGGATGTGTAAGACTGAGGTTCAGGCTCCACTGGAATTATACAGTAACTCCTATTTCATTTGTTACCATACGTACGTTTCACGTTTTTCACCGGTCACTTATCTCTTTTTTCTATCACGTATCCTCATCCTCTCATCCTCCTTCCTTCTCCTCTCCTTTCTTCTCCTTTCCTTCTCCCCTCCTCAGGCGGTAAAGTGCATTACTTGTAGTAATTCTCTTTGTCTGTTTACAGACGATGTTGAATCTGATTCAGAAGAAGCTTCAGGACAGAATGGTGAGTCTGACTTTGTCTCATCTTTACTGTTTAAACTCTCTGTAGTTGTTTCGTTTACATTTATGTGTGTGTGTGTGTGTGTTTCCCCACCCAGTGTGACCAGGTGATGGAGTTCTCCTGGAGCGCTCTGTGGAACATCACAGATGAGACATCAGACAACTGTCAGATGTTCCTCAACTGTCGTGGGATGAGTCTCTTCCTGGAATGCCTGAAGGTCAGAACACGAGTGCCGTCGTTATCACGTGTCATTATCTACCTGCTTTTTCACACTGTTAACTTACACGTGAATGAAGTGTGGGTTGTTCAGTAACGCCGTGATCCAGTTGGTTTTGCACACCAAAGTTCGTTTAGAAAAAAGGTTTCATGTAGATTTTGAATTAGGAGTGAATTTGAATGAGTTTCTTTATCTCTGTCAAATAAATGTACTAAATGATGCAGCGACGACCTAGCAACTCAGTGTCCTTGTAAAATAAAATGTTGAATTTCTCTATGGACTGGAGAGGATCAAGATGCTGTTTACCAAGTGACCAAAACCTGTAGGAGACTACAGGTTTTAGTCAACCTGTAGGAGACTACAGGTTTTGGTCACTGACTTTAGTCAGTTTTTGATGTTTGTTGTGACCATCAATGACCACAACTCAAATGAATGTCAACTATATCTTTAAGGATAAAAACCCTTTAACCTTTGTTTGTTCCAACTGATCCTAAACCAGGAGTTTCCAGATAAGCAGGAGCTTCACCGCAACATGCTGGGGCTTCTGGGAAACGTAGCTGAGGTCAAGGCTCTGAGGCCGCAGCTGCTCACTCCACAGTTCATCAGTGTGTTCAGGTGCGAGTTTTGGTCTACCTAGTGCAGTGAGTAAAAAGCCTAAACCAGTGATTCCCAACCACTGTCTCGTGGCACACTAGTGTGCAGAAAATGATCCAATTTCACTCAATTGGTCTGAAAACTATTATTTATTTATTGCATATATTTCTAAAATAAGCATAAAAGGCAGAACAATTTAAATACTTTTCTGCTAAGTGGCAGCAGATGGGTAGGAAAACAAAACAAAAAAAGATAATCAGAGCTGTTGAAGAGGATCTTTGTGAGCGTCTTTCTTCAATTCCTGCCAGTATATCAGCGTTGTCTTCAACTAAACAGGCCGAGGTTTTAGTCAATTATGAATTCAGTTAAACTTGAAGATTCAATTTCATAAAAATATACTTTTATACTTTGGAGTTTTTCCTGATGATATATGTGACGTGGTTTAAAAAAGGTTGGGAAACACTGGCCTAAACAACAGTCATATCAAATATTAAATCTTTGTACTGGTCAACACCTCCACAGTAACCTGCTGGACAGCAAAGCAGACGGGATCGAGGTGTCATATAATGCCTGCGGCGTACTCTCCCACATCATGTTCGACGGGCCCGATGTTTGGTTAATGGAGGAGCCGCGGAGGGAAGCAGTGATGGGCAAGATGTGGGCCGCCATTCAGAGCTGGGACGTCAGCTCACAACGCAACATCAACTACAGGTTTTGACAACAATGATTGGATTTGATCATTTGAAATATTTGGTTCGTGATAGAAATGAATGCAGTTCCTTCATCAACATTAATCTCTCAGGTCGTTTGAGCCCATTCTACGTCTCCTGCCTCAGAGTCTTTCGCCTGTCAGCCAGCATTGGGCCACGTGGGCGCTGTACAACCTGGTGTCAGTGTATCGTGAGTATCCTCAAACAAACAAACAAACAAACAAAAAAAACGGTAGACTGGAGCCGATGAGAATTTCTGGTATTTTATGTACCTCTCTTTTTATCTCTAAACTTCTCTGCAGCAAGGAAATATTGTCCCCTGTTGATAAAAGAAGGAGGAATGAGTCTCCTACTAAATGTTCTGGACCAGGAGGGCTCCCAGCCCAAGACCAAGGAAATGGCCAGGTATGACTGACATTTTCCATCATCAGAAGGCTTTTTTTTTTTAGCTGCACAAATTTTAGCAACTAAAGAAGAATCGAAGAGAGAGCACAACAAACACTCCTGCTGCTTTTATAAACTGTAAGCAGGGCATCTCATCTCTTAACCTGGGTTATATCGAACCCCAGGAATTTGGTGAAAGACAAGACACACACCCAGACTCAAATGATTTGTGATGACACGCCCCGCTTGGCCATCACTAGCTGCCGGTGATCACACTACATCGCTTGGCCTATCTGTGCTGCAGGGAATTTAAAACATATAAGTAAAACATATACCTATGTCTTGAATTTGAAAAAAAAAATCATATTTTATTTTTCCAATGAAGAAGGAATCCATGAACGGGCATATGAAACTGGTGGGGTTCAGTACCTCCAACGAGGTTAAGAACCACTGCTGTAGTTGTACTGTTATTTTGTAGTAATCTCTAAATGCAGTGGACGGTTGCCAAATACACAGATAAGTGGAGATGAAACGTCAACACATCTATTGTATAATTCCATCAGGCAGTACTTACATATGATCTAACCTGTGCCTCACATGTCTGGTTTTGTAGGAAAGTGATAGATCTGTGTGAAAACTTCAAAGAAGACCCGATGGAAACCAACCAGGGTCAGGAGGGAAACTACGGACAGAGAGGATGAAACCGCAGGACCTGTGACTCCTGACACATAAAAAGCAACCCAGTTTAGGCTCCGCCCACTGTCATCACTTCCAGGGTCACTCATGTGCTGCTGCCTTCTTCTTTTGCTTTATCTTCATCTTTCACCCATCCTCATCCTTCTTATCCTGCTTCTACTTTTTTTTTTTTTCTTCTTCTCCTTCTCCTCCTTCTTCTCATCCTTCTACGTCATCTTGTGGTTGGCGCTTATCTTTCTTATCCTCCTCCATCATCCTCTTCCTCATTCTTCATATTCTGCTCCTGCTTCTTCTTAACTCTGTAGAGCAGACCTGTCTGACCCTCTGTGACATGGAGGACGTTGTGCGAGGTGTTCAATTTTTGAGGGACTTTTGCTGCACATTAGCATCTCTTCTGACAGGTGTGTGTGTGTGTGGGAGGGAGTGGGTTCTGTGTGTGTGTGTTTGCGTGTGTGTGTGTGTAAGGGGTGACCCTTGACAACAGCTCACTGCGTCCGCCTCTCTTTTTGAAGAAAGAGCTGACGGTCAT